ATTTATATGCACAATATATACACAGCGCTCCCACGACTCACTTATGTGCCTGTGCTAAGACGATGACAATGATCGATAACGATGGTCACATCGATGACGATGGTCACGTGGGTGGTTGTCGTAGTGAGCCTCGCGTTCGGAATCTCGTGTAACACAGTCTCTCTATAACGGACACTGCATTATACATACATGCATTACATACGCATCACAGGAACCTTGTCGACGCGTCTCTTAAACACCACACTGTTTGTTAGGCCAGACTTTTATTATCCCTTGTTTCGCGAACCCGTCGAATGAACAGGAGCCGAAAATGAAATAAAAATAAAATTTTATTTTAGCGTAATAACTCGCGCCCGCCGACTTCTAAGTGCAAAAAATTGCTAAAAAAACCTTATTTTTATCTTCATTTTTTTCCGCCCGCCGCATAACAAACCCAAGTTGCATTTTCGTGGGAGTATCATGATCAAAGTACCGAAGTCTCGCGCAGATGAGAAAACAAGAGAAACAAGGTTATACATGGAATAACATTTTATTTCATTTCTTCTCTCCGATAAATGATCTCACTTACAATTCTTTGAGAATCACACAAATCTAATGGAAAAAAAGAATTAATTTTATTTTATTTTCGCTCTCCTCAAAAAATTGCTTTATTAAAACTCGAGAAACAAGGAATAAAAAAAGTCTGGCCTTATGAATGTAACTCGTCTCCATTTTTTGTTATCAGGTGAATGCAGCTAATAATGGCAGAGACACTGTAATAAGCCCAAGCAGACGAGTTGGATTTGGATCCGTCATAGACCCGGACTATGAGGGCGATGTACTGGTAATTGAAGACGAAGAAACCGGAAGTTTCCAGAGGGCAGCAAATGGTGGTAGTTTCACGTGTAGCGGTACATCGTGTAGCGGTATGTTAAATTAAATAGGGGATGGTCATCCAAAGTGTTTATAAATTGTATTTTTGACATTTTGCGGAATCAAAGGGATCGTAATTTCGCTATGTTGATATAATGTGTGATATTGCTACAATGATAGTGTAACTTATTTTAAGAGGTGATTTTCAACAAAATTTGGGGCGGAACAAGTGTGTGTTTTCTATGTAACGGAATGTAATCGTCGTTGCACAGAATGTAACATGCAATGTGACATAACAAAAATATACATCGTGTCACACATGCCCCAATTTCACAGCTAATACGCATTAAACAGTACAAAAATTCCAATTCATAATCTCCGATACGACTTCACTATAGTAATAGGTCATGTAGCGACAATCCGATTCCATGGCGTGAAGTCGTTGAAGTAGACATCAGCCCAGTGCAGTCAATCGTTATTTAGAATAAGACAAACCTTTGAGCGCCGGTTCGAGTCACGCACGCAGTACGTATTTACTATAATTAGACATAGTCTTTACCTTGCCGTTTATTCGGTGTTATTTGCTTACTAAACCTTTGAAGCGGTCCCTACGTCATAGAAATTCATCGTCGCTAAACGACACTTCCTACAGACAGAAAGGAGTTATTATAGGCCATGACTCGAAATACTACCAAGTTCTGTTTTAGTGATCCGATCAGTGTACAGTTTTACGACATGTTTTTCTCTCAAGCTACTTGTTTCTAGCTTTCATTATGATTTCAACAACAACACATTTTTTAGATTGTTATTTATATTTTTTGCAGGATCATCCGACCTGTATCCACCATCAAAGATAATCGATCTTCAAGTAAAGACAATAGCTTACAGATTTCGAGAAGTAACAATAGAGTTCACTGCCCCAGGCGACGATTTAGACTATGGAAATGGTTAGAATATAAGTTTTATTTGATTTACAGATTTCTTGATCTTACACTACAACAACTGTATTGTTACACAATTGTTCTATGATTGATACATTGATTGAGAGTTGTGAATATTGAATGTAGTATTTCTTCTTTTTGCTATTTGTCAATTTCATCTACAAGCAGTAAACCTCGATCAAGGACATATACTAAGATATAATATAGTTGTTATGCTATTTCACATACAACACATTATATACATATTTGTTGTTTTTTGAGAGTTGATTGAGAGTATATTTTATGTAGTATTTTTTTCTCGGTTGGCTATTTGTAATTTTCACCAAATTGTATATTAGCCCACAAGCAGTGAAACCTCGATCAAAGATCCAAAAATAGAATACAAGTCTCTTAATATATATACAGATAGTTGTTACGCTATTATACATAAACACATTATATACATATTTGTTGTTAATTATCTTTATACAATGGTACACATGTGAACAAGAAATATGCAGATATATTGTCGCAACCTGTCTTTATTTTTGTTTCACTTTAACACAGTGACGTCGTACGAGATATGGATGCATACTGACTTCTCCACGATGCAGGCAGACCATGAAAGCA